CTATATCCAAAGCATATGGGATTCTGCTCATCCGCTCTCGCTCATCATGTTTTGAAGGACACTGATTCTTGCTAAGAGTTATGCCATGAGATATTGGCAAGAAGCCCTTCTTGGAATCACGCATTTTGAATATATGCAAGACCTTATCGATATAAGTAGCTTTACATAATTCAACAGACTTAATCTATCTTTATAGATTATTATTCCAAGAACATGTGTAGCCTTTCCCATGTCTTATACTATGAGAACTTCCTGAATTTCTCGAACTCCTTCGAGCTGTATTTTACTCCCACTGTTCTTCTTGGAAAGAAATTCTCTTTCTAGAAAAACGTCACTACTATCAACAAACACTTTGTTCTCTGTGGGATTTTAAAAGTAAACANTCCTGAATTTCTCGAACTCCTTCGAGCTGTATTTTACTCCCACTGTTCTTCTTGGAAAGAAATTCTCTTTCTAGAAAAACGTCACTACTATCAACAAACACTTTGTTCTCTGTGGGATTTTAAAAGTAAACACAGATTTTTCTAAAATGTATCCCCAAAAGGATAATGGAAGATCTACATGACTCATCATTGACCGAACCATATCTAATAAAGTTCGGTTTCTCCTTTAGATACACCATTCAACTGCAGTGTTCCCAAAAGAGTAAGTTGTGAAACAATTTCACAATTTCTCAGATGATCATTAAGCGCTTTGACTCGACCGGATCGAAGAGCTTTAATTTTCTTATCAAGTTTATTTTGTACTTTATCCTGAAATTTTTTGAACTTTTCAAAAGATTCAGACTTATGTTTCTAGATTAACATAATCATGAAGTACTGATAGTTTCCTTTAACATTTATACTCATTGGTCCACATACATCAGTATGTATAAGTTCCAGCAAGTCTTTTACCTCCTTTACTATGTCCAGTAAGAAAAGCCTTAGTCATTTTACCCAATAATCAAGATTCACATTTCTCAAATGATTCATAATCAAGTGAGCTCAAAATTCCATCACCATGAAAGTTTTGATGTGCTTCTCATTTATGTGGTCCAAATGACAATGCTAAAGAAAAACTTGATTTGATTCATAAGACTTGAACCTTTTGGTATTAATGTTATAAACATGCACGCTTTGACTTAGAATATAAAGTCCATTCTTTAATAGACCTCTACTATAAAAGAAATCACAATGATCAAATAAACAACACTTGTCTTTTAATCAAAAATATGAAATCCTTTCAAATCCAAATAATTGAATAATATTCTGCTTATAGCAGGTACATAGTAGCAATTCTTAGTTTCCAAAACCATGCAAGAAGACAAAAAACAAATGAAAAATTCCTACAACTAATGGAGCAACTCTTGCTTCATTTTTCACGCGAAGGTCCACTTGTCCTTTCTCCAAGACTCTATTGTTCTTTAGGCCCTGCATATTTCCACAAATATGAGTACCACAACTGGTATCAAATACCAAAGAAATAGAATCAGAAATAGTAACATTTACTTTTATAACATAAATACCTGAAGATGACGTTTCAGAAATCTTCTTCTTTTTCAGATCTTCCAAGTATTTC